GAAAAGGGGGAGAGAAAAGAGGTAGTGTGAATGGAGCTAACGGCAAGAGAGAGAGAAGGAATGAGAGAGTGTGAGGGAATAAGAGAGAGAAAGAGAGGAGGGGGAAGAGGGAGTGAGACATAGTGATCAGCAGGGAGGAGGAGGAGGACCCTGACAAAGAGGCAGGAGAGAGACAGATTGTGTGTCATCAGCTTCACACACGTGACGCCTCCAAGCTTGCTGTGGCTGGAGTGTGCAGGTGTGGGTAGGTGTGTAGGGAGGTAGTGCAACACGGCCATCAAGTTGTTGACCCTAAGATGAATGTTGATGTTTCAGCTAACACTATCACTACTACTACCAGCACTAGCCTTCTACCCTTCCTCTGACTACCATAACAAACGTATTACACTACCATTTATTTTGCCTCCAGTACTACTCAGTCTTCCTCGGGTGTCTTCAAGAGCTTATTACTATTCGCTTCAAGTGTTTAGAAAAGGTATACTCTTTTCTTTGTCCTTGTGGGTGTCCCCAGACCCCAGTACCACCCAGCCGAAGTCTTGGTGGTAGTCGTCAGGGTTGGTGTTTCTAGTACCATGACGGACGGCCTTATGACAGGGAAGTCCTGGAAGGCGACGCTGACTAACCCTAACTTTAAGTAGGAGTTAAGACCCCAGGGTATGAATCATGACCCCAGGGTATGAATAATGACCCCAGGGTATGAATCATGACCCCAGGGTATGAATCATGACCCCAAGGTATGAATCATGACCTCAGAATCATGACCCCAGGGTATGAATCATGACCCTAGCGTATGAGTCATGACCACAGGATCATGGTACTGTTACCACGTGAGGATGTCTGGGAGGTCTTGGGTGTATGTGTAAGAGTTGGCCGTATTTATGTTTCCAAATTCAGGGAGCCATAAATTAGTGGATGTCCTAATTGATAGAAGTCGTTCAATTGCTCACGTGATCCACAGGTGTTTCAAAACCTCCAGAGCAGCGAGAGTGTGGGGTGAGGCTTTACATAAACCGTGTGTCATCGGCTTCAAATTCAATTTCAGTGGCGAGCATCACATGAGACTGAGTCAAAGACAGCGAACGTGACGAACTGCGTTTCTGCCTCCGTCCCTCCCCGTGGCGGCAGACCAGGTTCGAGGATTACTAGAGAGAGAGGGAGACTGTTCCCTGGGGCACCCTCACCGCCTGAAGGTCCATCAGCACTTCCTTAGGTGGTGATGGCGATCAACGGAAGGTTTTTCAAAAGGGTACAAAAGCAGACACGACACTCGTGTCCAGGGCGTCACATTACAGCACATGGATCACGGGTTCTCTCCTCACGTCACCACCCCCCCCTGCCTTTCCATGTGACCACAGGAGGAGAAGGGGGGGGGGGTCCTCCCATCTTCTCAGCCCCGCCTTACCACAGCATCAACCCCTCCCCCTCTTTTAATTCTTGCCTCCCGCACCCCCTCATCCCCAACACGCTGTCCTTGGCACGTAATTTCAGAAGTTTAACATATAATTTTCATCAACAAATTTTTAAATTACAAAACTAAGTGACACAATATATATTTTTTAGATATTAACCTGACGCCAAGCATAAGGAACACCCTGATAAAAGCAGCAAGAGTTAGATAATTATGGGGGCAGCTCCGGCACCTCGCTCCTCCCTCGCGCCTTTGTGACCACCACACGCGCACGCACACACGTATTCTTCCTCGGCACTGTCTTACACAGATTGTCCTCCGCTGGCAGTTACTCCCCGGCGGTCTCGCCAGTCTGTCTACCGGAGTTTGTTCAGTGACTTGTTCGTCTGAAGTGACAGTGATATGTCGAATTTATAATTAGTTGGAGTGTTATGTAGGGAGAGTGACTGGACGGCTGGGACTGTCAGGTTGTGCTTCTGAAATTATTAGTATTGACAGTTCATAGTTCCTACTGACATATATATTACACTCAAACAACTTGTATCCTGTATCAAACACTTGATTGTTAGTTGTAAATAATTTTGTTTGACAGCAAGGAAGAGTCTTTTTGATACACAGCTAAATAGATAATTGATCACAGATATCCTTTACTTTGAACTTGATTTTCTAGTAATTAAGTAATTTAAGTAATTTGACGTGAATAGCCATCTTTATTGAATAGCCCCAAGATATAGTAAGCAGAGTAAGTTTAGCTGGGACTAGCGGGGACACCACCACATACTGACATCTATAGTTTCATGTGATCTGAGGTGATACACATCCACCTGTAACTACTTGAGACATGAATATAAACAAATTTCTGTGCACATTTCAGCTTAAAGCCAAAACAGGATATGAACGTTATATAACAGACAATAAACAATAAGTTAAAACTCATGAGGAGTAACACGTGAAAATATTCACCCATAAGAACCTTGTTAACATTATTTATAGATTCACGATCTTGCAGTTAGTAGTGACACACCGTTACCTGGAGGATTGTATCGCAGAATGGTGACGGAAGTGTTACTGGTGATGATGATGATAACTAGTGTGACGACAGCCTGTCTGTGGACCAACTGTCAGAGGCGCTCTGTTCCCGTCCAGGGCCAGTACACAGTGTCCGGCACCACCTTCGAGGTCTAAACTCCCCTCTCAGCATCTGGAGCTCCTCTGTGTGGAAGAAAACACAGTAAACGCGGACTCTTCTACTGTGAACCAAAGTGATAATCAATTACTTCCCAAGTGTTCTTATTCTGGTTCTTTCTTTTCCCATTTCATAAAAACGATACAAGGAACTTTCTAAGAGTCAAGAGCTTAACATATCGAGCTACACTGACGAGTAACGTTAAATTATATAATTATATCCCTCGGTAACTCCAACGACGTGAGTACAGTCGGCAGCAAGGTAAAAATCCAGTTTTTGTTACCCCACTTATCTGCAATCCATCACTAACGCCTAGTGTGGCCACTTGACCACCTGGACCCAAGCGAGGACTGTACGAGGGAATCCCGTCTCTCCAGGTGTGTGAGAGAACCAGAAAGGCATCATGCTGGCCGAACTTCTTCTCACTGGCCTCTTCGGCGTCGCCTTCTACATGTTTATGGACCAGTTTCGTCTGGTTAAAGACCCGGTGGTCGTCGTGCTCAAGGACGACAGGGAAAACAAGGAAAGCAAGGAAACTAAGGAAACCAAGAGAGGCGAATCCTCAGGCGATGCGGTGAACGAGACTTGGAAGGAGAAGAAAGACGAGAGGATACCACCAAAAAAGAGCGATAGCTTCAGGTTGACCGACTCGGGTCGCGCCTCATAGACCTGTAACACGTTTGTTGGACGGATTCTGTTCCTTGTGGGACCGAAGTGAAGGAGCTGTATGTTAATTGGCCTGTCACCATAATGCTGCACAGGGTCTACACATTATGCTGTATGGATGGATCTCTAATTTAGAAATTATAGTTTATTGGATGCTCTTTACTGTAAATCACCTATGCGTCGCTTGGAGCTTGAGTCGAAGGAATTATATTTACTTCGGCACCTAGGTTGAGGGAATTTAATTTCATGAGTAAATCAAATCGATTTTTTGTGTGTGTGTTTTTTGCTTCGTAGGTGGTTTAGAAGTTTGGGGGGATATCAAGAAAATGTTTAACGCAAAGCTGTTCCAGAAAAGCGGCTGTGTATTAACTTATGCTTCAGTAGACATATTCAACCGTTTCTTACTTTAAAAAGTAGATTGTCTTATAAGCTTGAAACCCTCTTGTATGTGATTTTGCATAGTGAAGGGCACAAGAGTGGTATACTATGCTCCCTGGGTAAACTAAACTTATTAGGTTATGCTCCTTGAGTGGATTAAACTTGTTGGGTTATGCTCCCTGGGTGGAGTAAACTTGTTAGGTTATGCTCCCTGGGTGGAGTAAACCTGTTTGGTTATGCTCCTTGATTAGAACAAACTATAGGGTTACGTTTTATTAATGCTCTGTGAGTGGAATAGGCTTGAGGTATTCACGAAAAGGCTGTAATGTTCAGGGATTCAAATGAAAATCTCGCGTGACGGCCATTTGTCAGTAAGTTGACGTGTGTATACCCATAGCGCTTCAGTAGTTATTTACACCTCGTTCGTCTTATAGCTTAACCAGAATAAGATTATGTAGGAGTGACTCAAACACCAGTAGCAGGCCTCTTGTTTACACCCGGTAACACCTTAATCACGACAGATAAACTTTATAGAAAAACCGTAAAACTTCACAATAAAAGCACGTTTAAATCACTCTTTAAAGTCAAGTGTAAAAGCTGAGGCAGCAACACACTTTAAACAACCAATCAGGAAAAACTTTATGATAAATTCCAGCAAATCGGGAAAATATCCAACCAATCACAGTGGCGTTGACCTTTCAAACCTCACCGGAGTGGAACACATCCAAGCTTATGATGTAATTTCGAAATTTTCCTTTTTAATCTCTTAAGAAAAAAAAAATAGACAATAGACGACTTAAGTGTGGTAGGGCGGTAGAGTATTAGCAGGGAGGGGAAGAGAGGGAAAAATTGCGCGGGGAACGACAGTGGCTCCCCCACTCTCGCTGGGGGGACAGTTGTCGCTGCCGCCATGATCCGCAGACGAGACCCGCAGGAGGGCGGCTACTACCTGAAGAAGCTGCAGGTGGAGGAGGACACACAGAGTAACAATGGCGGTGAGTCTTGGATGACGTGTGTGTGTGTGTGTGTGTGTGTGTGTGTGTGTGTGTGTGTGTGTGTGTGTGTGTGTGATACAAAACGACTGGAGTTCCTAAAGAGAGTCTGCCTGATGTGTGTTGTAGCTGCCTTGTTGACTCTTGTATGTAATACAGATGTGAAGTAAATGGGAGAACCTTCCTTGTTAACTCTGTGTATATGTCTGGATAACTTGTGGTCCGTCAGCTGTTTTATGAAGCTGATGTGTAAGGTCAAGGCTGTGTGTGTGTGTAGCAGTTGTTGTTGTCAGGATCCACCTGGAGGAGGTGTAGCATTACTTTACTGTTTCCTGACTTACCTTGACCTAAACGTTTGTGCTTCTTACAGAGGTGCCGGAGATGACTGAGCGACTCTTCAAGGTCATCATTATCGGGGATCCAACGGTGGGCAAGACATCCTTCGTGCAGCGCTACGTCCAGGACTCCTTCAGGAGGGACTATAAGGGCACCGTCGGCGTCGACTTCGCCCTCAAGATCCTCAAATGGTCAGAGTCGGAGACCATCAAGTTACAACTCTGGGACATCGCCGGTGAGTTGAAGGTTATAGATGTGTGTTCCTGGTGTGTACAGGACCTACCTGACGGGGAAGGTGTGAGGCGGCGGCGATAACTGTTTAGAACGAGGTACAGATCATTATACAGTACAAAGTAGATATATTAAACAACTATAAACCTCCCATAATTATACCTAAGATTTCACTTGTATCAGGGTACAGGTGTCAGGGTACAGGTGTCAGGGTACAGGTGTCAGGGTACAGGTGTCAGGGTGCAGGTGTCAGGGTACAGGTGTCAGGGTGCAGGTGTCAGGGTGCAGGTTTCAGGGTGCAGGTGTCAGGGTACAGGTGTCATAGTGCACGTATCAGGGTGCAGGTGTCAGGGTACAGGAGTCAGGGTACAGGTTTCAGGGTACAGATGACAGGGTTTCATTTTACTTAGATATCACATTTTAAGGTACAGTATGAGGATATAAGAGGTAGGTGTAAGGAGGCCTGGAATCAGAAGCAGCACCAGGGCCCACGTGTAAGGGTATCAGTATATTCACGTACCAGTGTATTAGTATAATCAATACAGTATATACAGTATATTTATATAAGTATTAGTGTAAGTATGTATGAGGTATCAGGGTAGCCGTATTATACCGTTTATAAGGTTGTGCATAAGACGATGTAAGGTATAGGAACTAGAGACCCTTTTCCAGGTGTGGTATAAGTATCAGGGTGTACAGGTATGAGGTATAAGGTTCACTGATTTACCCCCCTCATCCGGCAGGTCAGGAGCGGTTCACGTGGATGACTCGGGTGTACTACAAGGATGCTCAGGGCTGCATCATTATGTTCGACCTCACCAACCGCAACTCATTCCTCAATACACTTAAGTGGAAAAAAGATGTCGACTCAAAGTGTACGCTCGACGATGGCAGTCCCATCCCCTGCATGCTCCTGGCCAATAAGGTGCGTCATAATTTGTTCCTTGTATTATTAAGACCAATAAGAAGCATTCTAACCAGTTCACTGCATATCTTAGCCAATAAGGTGCGTCCCAACCTTTTCCCTGCATGTTACTGACCATCTCTTGCATACTCCTGTTTCGTAAATATTCAACCTTATTCAACCTCTCCCTGCGCCAAAAGAGTGCGTATTGACTCTGAGAATCGCTGTCACACTCAAGTAAAAAGCGACCAACACAGGACCAGTGGCGCAAAAACAGCGAGGTGATAATTGCGGCATAGGTGGCCCTGACACAAGAAAACACCGAGTCAAATTTACGACCGAGAATACTGTTGAGTGAAAACGAAATTAAGTTGGAAGTTAAATCGGTCTGTGTGTGTGTGTGTGTGTGTGTCATCAACCCCGTGTTTTCTCTGTCTGAAGATTTGTCTATTATCACTTATGTTATTTGGATCTTCTCTGCATTAATACAATTATACAATATACAGTGATTATGTAACGATAAGGGCGAAGGAGATGGTTAAGTAGGCGAAGGAGTTCATGGTGGTGTGACTGGTGTAGGCTGTGGTGAGGATGGATCACACTTCATAGGGGTAATGTGAGAATAAACTTGAAGGAAACAAAAGTAAGGAAAATAGGTGCAGGAGTTTACGTTTTGGGCAACACCTTAACAGATAAGTCACTCTAATGAAGAAGTCAGACTGGCTAAGAGGAAACGTGTTGTCAATAGGCAAAGAACGACTGTGTACTAGATAGTTGCAGGAAGACCTTTAGACGAAGTTGATGAAAACCTTAGTGAGGAGGGTAGAGGCGAGGAGAGCTAGAGTTTATTTAAGGAAGAACTTGATATTACTCGAAGGTTTTGAGACGTGGGTATAGAGAAGGAGGGTGGGAGTGTCGTAGTCAGGGAGGAAGGTTGATGAGGAAGTATACTACAGGTAGATGTAGAAGAGAGGGAGCTAACTGAACTATTAAAAGCAGATAGAAAATATGACAACATATTCTATGAGGTTTTAATGTACTGTAACTAGATCCAGGATGTGATAGTTACCAGAGAGAGTAACAAGGCTGACGTCAGAATTCCGTAGAGACGAACCCTTGTCATAACTGTAGCAGCTGTGACGTTAACCAATTTTCTTTCTATTAAAAACAAGAACGAATGAGTGGTGTTGGCAGTCGTCGCTTCGTAGGTAAAAACACGCGGGAGTCATCACCGTCCACCCATACTCACACAGGTCGGTACCATATAAACAACACCAGGAACTGAAGTCAATAGTGTCTGCTTTGGCGTTCCTGTTCACCCCAGAAGCTATAATAAAACCAGATGAACGTTTGTCCGCCTTCACTGTGTGTCAAGCATCAGTGTCAGCCATATAACAGTTAACTTCCTTTTAATCACTCCCCTCCCCGTCACCGGTACCCCCCCAAACACACACACACACACTTCTCTCTTACCCCTGATGGTGAAACTGGCGCCACCTCCCTCAATGTTGACCCAAGCATATTTACTTAAGAGTTTAGCGATGCACCATTTCCTCTGACATGAGTTTACATTAATGTTTTACCTCCACTTATGATATAAGATACTGCGTTTTTTATGATTGTGTTGAAACATTAACGTGTACAGGAGCGGCTAGAGAAATTTTAAATTTAACTGAACTACTAATTGTCAAAACCTTCACAACCACCAAGACTAACGACACACACACATACACACACACACACACACACAACTTTCTCCTAAAAACAGATTTAAATCATTTTACAAGTTTAGAGGACAGTGAACCACAATCTTGAAATATAACTTCAGCAGTTAGTACATTATTAGACAGAGAGAAAGGTGAGCAAAAATAACAGGTAGGTAGATACAATGTAGAGGGCAAGTTTAGAGTGGCAAGCCATGAGAGGGGAGGGGCGATGGCGTCCAAAGTCAACACCAGGGACACCTCGTATACTCTCAGCTGTCACATAGTTTATTACTGTAACATCGATTATACTCACTACCGCAATTAAAACAAAAATTCTGTTGGGTTTATACAGATATACGTACAGCTTTCTTTAAATTTATATAAGCATCATTGTGTATCACGGACACAGTGGGTAAGTCAATGTAAATAAATGCGGTGTTCAACAATTGTGTTCAAAAACCGCTAGGCCTGAGAGGAGCCTCATTCGTTACTGAAGGGTGGATGATGTACTCAGGAGATTTTACGATATAAAAACAAATATCCCAGGAGATAACTTTATGTGTTGACAGGCAAATTTAACATGCTTGAGAAATTAGATGGTCAAGATCAAAACAAAATAGTAGTGTCGAGAAATACAGTTGTCGTCCCTGAGATGTCAAATTACACAGAGTAAATCAATGTCTTTCCTGGGCTGTTAACTTTTACATAGTGGATTACCATAATAATTTTGTCCCTCAGATGTTAGTGTGATGAGTGTTTTAAGTGTGTGTGTTGTATTTCAGTGTGATCTGCCCCATCGCCAGGTGGACCAGCTGGAGATAGAGAAGCTCTACAAGGAACACAACTTCACCGGCTGGACCGAGACCTCTGCCAAGGAGGGGCTGATGGTCACTGACTCTATGAGGTATACAGTGTCAAGAGTCACTAATGCAGCATCATATTGATTGATTAAATTACTGAACCACTTTTAATACTCCTTGATTCATAGAGGCTTAACTCCACTTTTAATACTCCTATATTTTAAAAAGTCCACTTATAACATTTCTTTATATATGCTTCCACTTTTAATAATCTTTCAATAAAATACCTTCACATACGTACCTATTTAAAAACAGTAAGTGTGACGGCCGAGCAGATCCATTCTCTGTTCTGAGGATCATTAGTTTATGCCCAGGACACTCGCAATTCACATATCTGTGAATGAAAATCTAAATTTCATTTGAGGACGTGAAGGAGGCCGAGAGCAGTGTTTAAAGACTTAGTATACAGTGTACAGTATCCGCACTCCCTGGCTTAGTGTTCTTATTACATTCTTTACTAAAATAATGTCGGTATGATTTATTAGCATTATTTGTAAACTTTATTTACCAAGACACGTTACCGGCAGGTTCCTGGTGGACGTGATGATGAAGCAGAAAGACGAACGGGAGGATGACTCTGATGAGACGTCCTTCCGACTGTCTCCTGCAGAATTGGAGAAGCCCACGGCCTGCTACTGCTGAGTCTTGCTCCTCCTGCTCCTGTTGCTTCGGTGGTGAACTGGTCACCTCCTCCCCATAGTGCGTCTGGTCAACCCCACCGAAGCAGAGGTGTTCCTTCTCTGAAGTGCAGGCTGTCTGCTGCTCGGGTCGCCCCCCGCCGCTCTAGAAATCAGAACAAGCTGTTGCCACTGCTGTCAACACCGCTGCATTATCTTCCGGCTGTGTCTTACAACTCATGCGATGCAGGAACATAAAGGCAGCTGCTGGTGAACGACGAGACTGTTCTGCAGATGCTGTTTGGAAGGGACGCCGAGTTTGGTGCTGAGCAAGTTGGTGAGGATATTGAAATTCAGGTCACGTTCCGAATTGCCTTCAGCTGCACTACTGGCGGCTGATGGGAGGACAAGTTGTGACGTCTGGATCATCGTGGGGTCTGAGTGTCGTAATCCTCGGCAAAACTCTGCTGTCAAGTATAAGGTCGTCATCCTGAGGAGTCACTATAACAGTGTGACCTCCACGACCACCAGTGACACCCCGTCCCTCTCTCCCTCCAACTTTCGTACCGCCATTGGTGCCACTCTGAACATACTAGTGACGAAGAGTTCTGCAAGTTTGTTATTTTGATGCATTTATATCATCCTGGTCTTGTGTTCGGCTGCCACCAAACAGCCAAAGGAAGTCATAAGAAGCTTGGAAAATAAGACATTTCATAAATCACATCTTCGAGAAATTTAAATTATCTGATCAGAAAATCAAAGAACAGAAATAGATCAAGTATGTCTGGTAGTTGACACGTCACTGTGTAAGGTAGACACATACGATGCTCATGTCAACACATTACCCTCACATGGATTCATAACCTACCAAGGACCTGGGTGTCGACACTCCAGACTTTTGCACATTAGTTTGTTTGCTTTAATGTTAAATCTCCCCCAGGAATAAAAACAGTAACAGTTGTATTTCTTCTATACAAAAAAGTGTGTAGCGAGCTTGATGGTGTATTTGTGTTTATATGTAGATTGTTTTCATATTAAGCAGGACAATTTTATACTTGTAAGATAGCTTAAGGTAGGCTGAGGTCACCCACCCATCTATTTCCTCCATCGGTGTTGAGTTTGATGTTGTATCGTAGCACTCAAGCAGTTACTCTCCACTCTATAAAAACACTTTATCAACGCCAGACGAACCTTCGCTTTTATTCTGCCTGACTTAGCGTAATTTTGTGTCATGAGTGATACAGTGTACGACAACTAATCAATCATCCCAACAACATCTCGAAAGATAAGTGTCTGTTTTCATTTAATATTCCCATGACATTCCTATAATCTTATTTTTTTAGGGGGTATGAGATCTGAATGTGACGGAGAAAGATGCCATTTTGTTTTATCGTCACCATTTTCATTATATTTAGTGCAGTAAAATATTATATTGCTAACCAGTTGACTCCTCTCTCTCAACAGTAAACATAAGACAACATATAACGGACTTAAGGACAACAAACCTAATCACCTTATAAACATATAATTCAATTCTACTTCAAATCTTCTTTATTTTGATGGGAACAGTTCATGTCTATAAAATATGTATGATAGAAAAAGATACACATTTGCATCCTAACATTCATATATAACTTTTTGCTCTCAATAGATACAAAATTCTTGAAAAGGGAAGAAATTGTATTTGAGTATTAAGAAAATGTTTAGAGTTGTTGAATTTATAATTATAACTGTAAGCAAATTATGTCAATATTGTTAAGACTGGAATAAAGGGAGCCTAAGCCTGCAATATTTATTTTATATTTTCTCCTTTTGCCCTGTGTGTGTGTGTGTGTGTGTGTGTGTCACAACCGTACAGCAAAATGGAACCGCTCTACGGTATAGATCAACCCTACAGCTGTCTCTCATGGGTAAAGTGTTGCTGTGTAGAGGGTTTTTATCTTAAGTGAACAGCGTGCTTCTCCTGTGTTGTTGTCAGGCGTTCCCCAACGCTTATCCTGGACGACATCTTAAGGTTGTCACTTCAGCATAATGGTCATTGGTGATCGCTGTTTTATGCAGCAGGTAGTCGATCAGTGAAATCGCTTTGACATCACAAAAAAAATCAAGGTTATGATCTTGCCAGCACAGGGTTCGCTTCTGAACTTCTTGGAGTCACATTTAATTATATCATAGTCAAATCGCCTGTAACTAATGCCCAACATTGAACTTTATGTTAACCTAAAAATTAGGACCCTACAGTATTGGTTTAGCCCTGAATTATAAAACTTCTTTGGTTGTCCCCTCCTCGTGTGTGTGTGTGTGTGTAATAATAATAATAATAATAATAATAATAATAATAATAATAATAATAATAATAATAATAATAATAATAATAATAATAATAAATAATAATAATAATAATGATAATGATAATGATAATAATAATAATAGTAATAATAATAATAATAATAATAATAATAATAATTAACGGTTTATTGAAAGAGCATGCCAGCCGGAAGGCTGGAAATATACAGTTGCATAATTGGGGAATGGGTCTCTTGATTTACAAATAATATACAAGTGTGTGTGTGTGTGTGTGAATAAGAAGGAATAATTGTCCCATTAATCTTTAAAGTTCATTTGACATCTTTGCCAAATAGAGATAACTTGTTTTCCTTATTGCTATAACTATGTCATAATACTTCTTTATTGTTTATAATTAGCATTACCTATACGTGATGGTCCTTCAATACTGACCAAATACAGTACCATATATTGCAGACTCCTTACAGTTCCATAAATTTCTCATAACCAAAATTTAATTACAAACCCGGAAGCAGTACGCAACTCTAGTGTTTACTTTGTACATTCAGTTCTCTTGTCGGAAGGTAGATGGCAGTGCAGGAGCTAGTTGGCCAATCGGCGCTCAGTTAACAAAATCATCAACCAATCACAAGAGCTGAGAGCGACGCACGTGATATTAGTTTGTAAACAAAAGGTGGAAGGTCCACCTGCAAAGAAGAGACGACCAAATTTCAGTGAGACGGAATTATACGCCATGTTGTGTGAAGTCGCCAAAAGAAAGACAATAATTTTAGGGAAGTTCGACTCGAGATGTACAATCAAATTAAAGAATCATGCCTGGGAAGAAGTTGTAAAGGCAGTAAATGTTGTGGCTCGAATCCCCTGCAATATTGTTGAGGTCAGGCGGAAGTTTTCCGATTTACGTGTAAGCGTGAAGAAGAAAGCAGCACAAGAAAAGAAATATACTGGTGGAACAGGTAAGTCCTAATATTGTTATCCTAGGTATTGATTGCCACTCTGAAACCAACTTAACTCTGTTTTTTTCTGAGGCTTGGTACGATTTGAGGTGGTTGTAAACTCAAGGAAGTAGTGTATGGTGGCTCTTTATCGTGAATTAATACACATATTTTCCTTATAATGAGCACATTCATTAAAGGAAACATCGTTCTTCGAAGTTTGCCATGTGAGTTATGAGTAAAAACTGTACAGCCGATAAATGAACCCAAAGGCTACTCGGTATTACTGCAACTTTTGGATTTTCTTAATATACCTATCATATAGTTGAGACACTTTTAAGACACTGTTCATTGTGTCGTAAATGACGTGGAACAGAGATATTTAATATTCTTCTGGGTGGTCCAGAGTGGCGGAGGCCTCCCGTTGGTAAGAAAGTTAGGTTAGGTAGGTTTGGTTACTGTTATAAACTACATATTAATACTTACGTTATTTCGGACGGCAATGACGGTCTTAATATGTAGCTTACCATAGAATTCCTCATGTTTTTTGGTTTTTTTATGGCGTTAATTTTGAGTCATCAATTGATTTAATTTCATATTTGGTATTGATTAATATGCAAATCTTACTTTGTTAGGCTTATAGGCAATGATGTTCTATCTTATGAGTTTACCACCGTGTGGACAATACAAACCTTCTGTTTTGTTAAAAAAATACTTGAAAATTTGTAAGAAGGCAAAAGATGCGTCTCTTCCAAACTGCGACAAATAGAAACAATCAAGCCTCTTCTTATCTTAAAAAAAATGTACGAAAAAGACAAAGTGAAATACTATATTATAGTATGTTGATGTACAAAACATTTTCTTCATTATTCTATGATAAAACAAGTCTAACAAGCATTATTAAAACATATATTATTATTATTTTTTATGCAATCGGGAATTAGCGACTACTACATCCGGGTTGAGAGTGTTACAGCACCTAAGGAGGTGGTGTAAGTTATGCACTAGATTACGAGCTTACTTACGTAATTCGATGTCAAATATTTGTTTTGAGTATACCGATCGGAGACTGTAAATCCAGTTACGGGGTAAACAAAGACATACATTCCCATAAATCTTTTTGAGTATGCGGCCCCTGGTATTATGGAAATAAACTACAGTAATGCATAGAAATTATTGCTATAATTTAGCTATCCGTATTTAGCGTGCCTGAACTAGGCATAAAGCATATGGGACTAGACATATATTATATTGGGTAAGAATAGCGAAACCCAATTGTCTGTTTCTTCTTTTATTGAAAAACTATTGTTCATATAATTCCCGAGTGTAAATCAAACCGTAACTTCCACTATCTATGAGTGTGAAGGGAGAGGACGGCGGCTATGTAAATAGACCGTTTAATCACGTCCTTTCGATGTGAGATGATGAATGTGACTGCTATGTGTAGTGACCCATTGAGGGAGAACGGAAGAGGCACGTCGTCCTCCCGTAAGACACTTATGTCTAGGACCCCAGTAGTTGATGAACCTATGGTTTCAGAGTCCCCAGCTTAATGTTTACAAATATGTTTGTAACATGGTAAGTCTTATGTATAGGATGTTTATCTGCGAGTTTAGTGTAGTCCTCGTGGAGCTCGGAGGGTAGGTGACCGAGCTATGTAATGGCCCTTGTTTCATAAACAGAAGAATTACATTTGATTTATATACTGATTCATCCCCTGTAACTTTCACTTGCTATGAGGTGACATGTTCAGTATATAAATCAGATGTAATTAACCCATTTATATAATTCTTCTGTTTATGAAACAAGGGCCATTACATGACATATCAAACTTACTGAGTCAGATAACAAGACCAAACAGATATATTCTGCCATAAAACTAGTTAATTCACAACGAAAGGAGATGGTCATATAATTTCTCATCATTTGCGCCATCCATAAAATTAGGCTTGTCAAACCTGCCTGAGAAGTCAATTTGTTGTTAGCATTAAGTTTAGGGAGGACCAGACTACTGTCGCGTGGTTGAGAGCCATTAAGATGTAGCAGGTGCCAAACTCGCCAAACATATTGTCTGCCATAACCGGTATATCATAATTGCCGCCGCCTTTCCACACCCTCCCTACTAACCCTCTATAAAATTTGCATAAGAGGAGGACCGAGAAGTGGCTGAGGTGGTCAAAGGATTCCAAGTGACGCGCGAGAAGTGCACTTATGACCCCCGACAAGTGTACCTGAGAAAATTCCCCAGGTAAGACCCAGGTTTGGGTCACTGGCGACCGAGGGCTTCCCGCACATACAAGGTCAGAGTTGCTGTGGGTTTTTTTTGTAAATAATTTATTGAATATTCCACATATTACCATCCCTATTACACCTTACAAAACGCCAACGAATGTAAATTTTAGTCCTTACGGTCCACCGAGAATTTTACGGTATGCTTAATAGTGGAAAAGGTTAGATGTGTGTGTGGTGGGAGGGAGGGCGAGCTGTGGTGGCGAGCGGGATGGGTACAGCGTGGGCGCTGGGGTGAGTTGTGTCATGCTCAGTGGGCCCGGGTTGCTCGCCACGTGAAGAGGTATCTGTTGTGCCTCTTTCTGTTACCACCTTGTGGGAGTGTTCATGCTTACCATCAAGAGCCACTGACTTACACCACGTAGTGCCGCAAAGTTATAACGAAAGTGATAGATCAGGGTCTGTAAATGGACGTGTATAAATGCTAGTTATACCTTCTAGTGGTCATTACAAGCAGTAAAACAGTACTCGTGCTGACTGGAAAGTGCAGAGGTGAATGCCATCCATTGGCCAGTGTATGGGGCTCATGACGATGAGTGCTGGACATTGTATTGCAGCTTACATTATATTTTTTGTTGAATTATGATTTAAAGTTGTAAAGCACCTAACTGCACACGTGTGCGTCGACCACTCGATGGTAATATTGCCTTCATGGCATCATGAAACAGGATTTTCACAAAAACAATCATACGTGCTTGGATTCACAAAAAGGCATGAAACATATTAATGTTATATGAATGTGTCTCGGGCTAGCTTTACGTTACGGAGGAGAAAGTAGTGATAACAATCGTGTGGAAGTGAGGAAACGTGAGGTGCTTATGTGGATAAGCTTGGTGGCACAGCTTAAGTGGAAACTGACAGTGTGATGAAAATAGGGAGGCATTACCCACTTTGAATGATATGCCTCTATACTTAGGAAGTGGAGTGTAGGATTACGAACGTTAGTTTTTTTCTAATACCTAAACTTTGTGGTGTCATGAACCTCATCACATGGGTAACAAACTTCAAGCTGTGATAATGGTGCATTAATGGAATGTCTTAGATCGTTATTTAATAAGTGAATCTCAGGAAGTGAATAGTACATCTCAAATACCCAAAAGTTGCATCAGCAAATCTCACGTAGCTTCCTAATACAAAAAATTACCGGCATTAGCTTGTTTGAAACTAATTTTGTATATATTTTCTCAAGCCTTATAACTTTAGGAGACGATGAAATGGTAGAGTGACTGAATATAAAGAGCTAAGAAAGAGTTAACAGGCGAGGGAAGGACCAGCTTCAACGTCAGTCATATATTGAGGTGAGTGTGAGAAGCCTGACTCATATTAACCCAGAAATTCAGTCTAGGCTTATATTGCACAGAGAAATGATACCTTAGCAATGTTGTGTGAGCTCGTAACACAATATCTGACTGGGACTTTGCTAGTGCATTTTATTTTTATCGTCATTCTCTTCTTTAATTCCGGTTCTTATTCTATTTTCCCATTTCATGATTTCTGATTAAACAGTTACACATTGATGAGTTCTAACTGTTAAGTGCAGTTCCTGTCTCTCTCTTTTTCTGCTTCACCATCAGCTGTTTATATCAGCGTACAAGTGAATAATTTTAGGTGTGTGGTCAGCATTTTGCGTGCGTGGGGCGAGGACATGCAAGGATACACTCAATATACACGCAGGCCAACACAGTGATGTTCATGTCTTGATACTCCTCGTTGTGTACACACGAATTTATAAATGATGTGGCAAATTATTATTATCTCACGTATTCCTAGCTTTTCCTGACTGTTTATTTAACATGTTTGTCCTGAGGATTTCCCCAAGTTTGAATTAGTAACTGTTGTTATTAGATAAACTCTTTCAGCCTAATCAAGCTCGCCTCTGTCAAGATGAATGGTAATGAATAGATCGTTGTACTCACACACGTACTATAACTGGGAAATAACTTACGTACTCAACCACTACACACACACACACTACACACACACACACACACGGAGAGAGACAGCTGCAGGGAGACATTAACAGATTGCTCATAAACAACCAGAGTCTCCCCGAGGCACCTTGAGCTACAAGCAAGGACAACTGCACCAACAAATACACGAGGAAACAAGGACATTATGCAAATATTGACGCTGCTACAAGGATGCACCAACTAAAGGCACTGCATAAACAGGGAAATGCTGAAACGAGGGCACACACACGCAAGGTAACACATAAACAGACATAAACAAGATCTCACAAACAGGGGACTCACTTAAACAATGACTCGCAAACAAATATGGACTCGCAAAACAAGGAATCAGGCAAACATACTAAAAAAAACAAGGACTCAAACATGGACTAACGAAAGCAAACAAACAAGAATTCATGTAAGCAAACATAAACAAGAACACACATATACAAAAATAAGCAGATCTCACACAAACAAACGAAAAAAAAGATCACAATTATATGGATTTACATAAACAAACAAGCGGTCTCATTCAAGCAAACATAAACAGAGAGTCACAAAAAAGCCACACCTACAAATTAGGAAACCTGAAAGAGGACAAATGAAAACAGAAAGAGACACAGAAAGAAGTGTGAATATAGTCATCAGCATTAATCGTTTTTTTAGCTGACAGTAATTGGCTAAGAAGTCCAGCGTTCCCTCACAACTCATTGGCTCAAAATGTTTTTATCATATTAACATATCGTAAATAAATCCACATATAACTGTTAAAGGTACCCAGTTCTGGCTCGCTTTAATGTTGAATTTAATATATGTAAAGATATAACTGCTTGAAAACATTAAATTTCAAGATATGAGTGGGAAAATATTTGACATAAAGAATATTTGCCGTCGAAGTCACAAACAAATTCACGCTTTCGGACAAATGACAAAATATACAAAGCAACAGGTAATAATGACCATTTTATGAGAAGAAATAAGGCTGGGTGTAGCCCTGTGTGGTGTAAGGTGTTCAGGATATGTATTGATTCTTGAGAGATGGTGTCAGATTGGCTCGATATATTGTGGGATATTTTGATAGTGATATTTTGGTCATAATGCACCGGGGTGAGGGTGACGGCGGCAGGTCAAGAGGGCGTGGTAGAGGAGGTGTCGGGTAGCGTGTGGTTATATATTGCGTTTACTACTAGTCTTAACGAGTCTTTTAAGAAGATGTGTTCTTGGCTTGTTACCCGAGTCGATGGACAAACGGTAAATTCTTTTCAGGAATAACTACAAAATTCGTATAGCTACTCTACCTGACGCCTGTAGATTCGTGTAGTCTTAACAGTCGTCACTGAAAGAATCAAGTTTACTTATTTAACGCCCCCACTACGGGGACACCACTTTTAATATTTTATTTATTAATATCAGACGATTTTATTCAGCTCAGAGCGAGCCCTTACATGCGGGGTTAGTAGACTATTTTCATGAAATATGTTGCTGTGCTGTTGTCTTGGCAGTTATTGTTTACAGTACGTGTAATTTCTGTAGCCTTTACAACATAAAACAACAAAAACAATAAGAAAGTGTTATGAGAAGATGTGCAAGAAAGTTAGAGCACCACAAGGGAGCCGCCCCACTACCGGCTCGGGTGACCACGGCGTCTGGGCGTTTTCTATTTGTCTCAGCACAGAATAATGGGACCAGGTGACGAGGTTGTGTCCGGTGTCCTGCTCTCCCTTCACGATAATCTCCCAAGATCTTTGTTTTATGTTCAATTTTGATAAGCTTCGTTTGAGTGTTGTTGCCAGGGCCTCTGATAAGGTTGACCTCTCTGTTTGTGTCCCGCATGTGTGTTTATTATTTACTATTGTGTGTTAATGAAGAGCAAACATACAGTCTCCCCTGCTTAAGTGGAGTCCTGCCTGATGAGGGCAACGTGTGTTGTGTGTCCGGCATGTGATGATGAGCCTGATGGTGAGTGTGTGGGCGATGGTGGTGGTAGTTGGTAGCAGTGGTGGTGGGTGTCAGATAGGAACAGGCGATATATTGCCAGGGAAGATACACGCACACGCAACCATATTCGTATGCATGCATTCATGCAGCCGCACACGCACCCATGCACTGTAACACATATACTGCACATGGCCGCACTCCCCCACTCACAGACAGTGACGCAACTCTATTCGCATGCATGCATTTATGCAGCTACACATGCACGCAAAGAAGCACACATGCATGGTCTCACAGCCTCTCACCCAGAGAGAGAGAGAGAGAGAGAGAGAGAGAGAGAGAGAGAGAGAGAGAGAGAGAGAGGCCTGCGTTGTGGGCAGGTGGCGGCAGCAGCAGTACACAGGGAGGGCTGCACCATGCATACATCATCACCGTTGCTTTAGTACACACACACACACACACACACACTTGCTACACCACAACTCACACACACCTGCTATACGACACACACACACACACACCTGCTACACGATGTATCATAAAAATACTCATACTCGACACAGTTTATGTTTCATTAATGTCACAGGTGTGGTAGATGAGTGTGGTAGTGGGGGGGGCAGTGAGGGCATGAACTTGTTAACACTTTGCATGATAAGTTAGTGAACGTCTGCCTCATGTTGTTGTTGTAGTTGTTGTTGTTCTCATTGTTGCTGATGCTTCTGTTTTTCGTTGTAACAATTATTTTCTTTGTTTTAGATGAATTTTATAAGAATCAGAAAATGAGTTAGAAATATAGTTTTAGACACATGTATCGGCATTAGAACGACTCTCCATGTGTTGACAGTATTATGAAGGCTGACAGCATTATTTACACTGAACCATACTCACAGATGGCTTACCAAATACACCTTGCATGTGAAAGACGAAGATGTATGATCTAACTATATAAAGCGTTGTATGTTGTGTTTTGGTGGAAAGACATGGTCGTGAATAAGTCGAGGCATGATGGAGTGCAACTATAGGGAAGTTTGAGGAAGTAGCTGTGACGTGATAAAGAATGACGAGTGTTGTGACTGGGAATGAAAGGAGAAGGGATGATGATAGACTGGTAAACAATGTCGGTGACCATAGTAATAATAGTAAACAACAGGAAGTGGAGAAACGTGAAGGAGAGATAAGGAGGACATGAGGAACTGACCGGTTGGCGATGAGGTGAATATTTCTATGATTGGATTTTGTCTACTAATGAAAACTAAGAGTGATAGCAGCAGCATCAGTACTCCAGGGACGGGAGGTACAATTGTGGACCAAACTGACTTGACACTTGGCAGTATCTAGCGTATAAATTAAGGATTATTCGGTGAAGGGGTTTATAATGTCATCGTATTTCCATTGATTTTAACATGTATTAAATATTTTTTCTTCCATTTTGTGGTTGAGACATGAGACGAAAAACAGCGTAATTAAATATAAACCAATTCTATTATACAGTGACGAGTGTAAGTTGTATGGAGTTACGCTATGGACGAGACCTTAAACATTGTTATTGATAGTTCGTGTTGATCTATTGAAACGTAATATATACTTAAAAGTCTATAATTAAAACATAATAAACCTTTTAACTCCCAAGAGACAGGAGTAAGTTATTTTTAGTGATTATAACTGAGGAGTATTGGGGAGGGTGGGGGGAGAAACCTATCATTAACTTGTTTTATTCGGACAAGGTATAGACCGTGTTGGGTGATTAATTAATAACTGTTCATGTTTCAGCTGTTACGTAGACATTTATGAAGATTAATCACTGTAGTAAATGTTGGAGTGTGTTGATGGTGATCTCGTGATAGGTTAGTGTGTTGTTGGTAATATACTGACGTGGGTGAGGAAGAATGGGTCAGTGGGTGAGTGAGTCAGTGAGAGAGAGTGAGTCAGTCAGTGGGGAAGGGGGGAGAGGGAGTGAGTCAGTCAGTGGGGAGAGGGAGAGTGTCAGTCAGTGGGGGGAGAGCGAGTCAGTGGGGAGAGTGAGTCAGTGAGAGAGAGTCAGAAGTCAGTCAGTGGGGAAGGGGGGAGAGGGAGTGAGTCAGTCAGTGGGGAGAGGGAGAGTGTCAGTCAGTGGGGGGAGAGCGAGTCAGTGGGGAGAGTGAGTCAGTGAGAGAGAGTGAGTTTGAATGGCAGTGAAAGTGAAGAGGAAATGAGAGAGATCTAGAAACAGATAAATTGTGTAACTGTGGTGAGAGTGAGAGAGAAATTGCATGGTGTTAGAAGCGAGTCATCGAGTGAGAAAAAAACGGTGACAGTAGACAGAGATGGAGAGAAAGAAAGAGACCGACTGACAGGTAGAGAAAGAGACAGACTGACAGAGATGGAGAGATGGAGACACAGACAGACAGACAGACAGAGATGAAGATTGACTGACTGACAGAGATGGAGAAACCGAGAGACAGTGACTGAGATAGACAGACAGACAGAGATGAAGATTGACTGACTGACAGAGATGGAGAAACCGAGAGACAGTGACTGAGATAGACAGACAGACAGACAGACAGAGATTAGTAGTAGTAGTAGTAGTAGGAGTATATAAGAAATTAAATTTGACCTCTTGGCGTTAAAAAGACTTTTACCTGTACATCAGAGGACCAGGTGTTAGTGTCAGGGAGATGTGTGTGTGTGTGTGTGTGTGTGTGGCCTTCAAGCATAGGTTAAAATACTAAGGCTCAGACCCCGGGGTGTTTTACAAGGATGATATATGACTACAAGTTACAGTCGACTACTTAATATTCGTCTTCGTCTTTATAATAAGAAGTCTAGATTATTTTCGATTACCTTTTAGATTTATGGTGATGATAATAACCTTGTAACGTGAAGGTCAGGGTGTTATGAACCACGACGCCATATAGCTCTGTACGAGTTTATATATATATTGGAATTGGTGTTTTTTTTTCATAAAGAATTAAGTATTTTTTAATAACCCAGGAACAAGCTGACAAGTGTTTAAAAATGATGATGGTGTTAACCTTGATATATTAAGGTCATAGTCTTAAAAATTGGTAAGGCGGCGTCAGCTGGGGGAAAAAAGTATATATATTATAGTGGGTCAGCAGGCGACCTTCTGACATACCATCACTACCGCACATCCCCACTACCTTTCTCGTGCCCTCACCTGGTGCTGCTGCCGCCGCTCGCCACTTACCACAGGTGGCGTCCACTTAGGTTTTTGTCACCCCATTAAAAAGTTGTAGTAGCAGCTGCACCCCCAACGCCCGTATATGTTGATGGGGCTACACCTTGTTGAACTTATAATTGTGAGTGTGTGTACTGTAGGGAGAGAGGATGTTACTTCACGGCTGCATGGTCGTGGAGGTCAATATGCTGTGAGAGAGGGGGGGGGGAGGGACAGCAGAGGGAGAGGGAGGGACGGGAGAGGAGGGACAAGAGAGAGAGAGGGAGAGGCGGGAGAGGGAGGGAGGAGGGAGAGAGGGAGGGAGGGAGGGAGGGAGAGGGGGAGGTACAGAGAAGGAGTGAGAGGGAGAGAAAGAAAGTCGTATTTTATTTGTCGTTGTAACTTCCCAAACTATATATTTAGAAAAATTAATTCCAACAATATCTAACTTCCAGTCGTTCTTTATACTATATATTAAGAAAAAATTGTAATTAATAATTAGTGAAGGATGATGGCTCTCACTGAGGTCATTTTATGTAAATATGAAAGTTGTCAGGTAGCGAATGCATACCTGTCATGACGTCACTAGTAGATCCACCTACGGCTACTTGCGGCTCCGTTACCCCTGTGTCCGGCAGTGTCCAGGTCGCTTGGGTTGTGTCCGGCAGTATTCAGGTTGAGGTTATGTCCGGTAGTGTCTAGGCTGTCTGCATTGTGTGGGTAGTGGCCTTCATTTTTTTACCGGTAATATCCAGGTAACCTACATTGCGTCCGACAGTGTCCAAGTCACCAGTAATATATTTAACAGTACTGTCCAGAGGCTCAAGTCTGGCCTGCAATGTTGATGGGAGGCAAGGACGTGAGGAGACTGTAGGCTGACCAACCACACACACACACACACACACACACACACACACAGTAAGTCTTTTATGTAAACTAACATGTACTGTACAATTAGCCCCGTAAACATGTCTGAGTAATACACCAGAATATAAAAGGTTCCACGTGTACAAATAAACGTCCCAGCACCGGGGAGGTGTTTCCATCTGTATTCGCTCAAATTTTATAAATGTTCATACGTTCTGAAGTCCACAGTGAAGAGATCAATTATCCCACTGAATATGACCTTCTCCGAGCTGTAAGTTACCATCTGACTGTCACCAACTTGCTACCAGTATCGTCTATCATCACATGACAGTTACAGTTACCACCACCAGCACCTTCCACCACACGCACTCCACCGGTATACACGAACACCTGGGAGGACTCATTATTTTTCTCTTTATATTTTATCTTACGGAACCTCTACTTTCCAAACCTCACTTATAACCCTGGATTGACACTGTATGGAACTACCTGTCATAGAGTGTTTGTCCTGTGTCATAAAACCACCCATTAGTTTAAAATATCCTGCTTCTGTCTTGGGGATGATGATGTCTTGGTGAAGAGATCTGAAAAAGGGACATTTCTCTGATCTTTCACTGTACTATGTGTTTGTTTATGAGGTTATTAGCTAGTTAGTTTATGGAACGGGGCCTTTGAGGGGTTTTCTTGGAAGATTCAAGCCAGGAAACTGGAAATAGGAGTTATAAGCTAAGTGTGGCCGTGAGACTTAATGAGTATACGGTACTGGACGAGTTGCCAACCAGTTTGTGTGTTGCGGGGTGGAGGCAGGAAAGTGGTTCGTCTCTCAAATGTTACAAGAATTACTGGTTAACTTTGCAGGTGGGACGGGAAGTGATGTTGATGGGTGATAGTGGTAGTAGTGGTGGTCATGGCCGCTGCATCAGACATGTTGATTACGGTGAGAATTTGTTTCGTGTTTTCCTTGTCGGCTACAGTACCAATTATCTCCTACTTATATTATGTCTGCATAGAAAGATACAGTAAACATTAAGTATTTATATCACTTTTGGGAGAGAGGATTGGAAGGTGGGGGCATTAAATATGTACTTGTTCTAGCCCTCTGTGTAGCATTACCCCGCTACCTCCGTCAAACACCCCGCTAGCCTACCTCAGTCAAACACCCCGCTAGCCTACCTCAGTCAAACACACCGCTAGCCTACCTCAGTCAAACACCCCACTAGCCTCAGTCAACAACACATACACTTGTACATAGACCAGTGTTTACCTCAAAGTCTGGATGAAACTTGCGTATACAGTAACAACAAAAAGACGTATTATTTTTCCAGGAACGTTTCATCACCGACTTTGAACACACCAATACTTTCCCTTATGCCCTTCTACAACAATTTATAGTAAGACTGGGCGTGCTAGAGTCTATAATAGAAGTGGGACTGTATATATCAGGAAACAACTTGGTATCCTCACACAGGCGGCGTCACTCTATAGGGCGTGTTGTTGACATGTTGGTGTTATATCTGGCTGGTCTAGAGGGAGAGTGAAAGAGGCAGACAGACGGAGGGAAAGACAGACGAGAGAGAGAGAGAGAGAGAGAGAGAGAGAGAGAGAGAGAGAGAGTTTCAAAATGTAAGAACATGTGCTAGGATTATCACCATTTGTGCCGGGTATTGAAATTTATTATTACATGTAGGGAGAACAGCAATGAAGTTTTTATGAACATAAATATTCACTCTAAGTGATCCCCAACGCCTTTGAAATATTGAAAACGATCATTTATGGGGACAGTTTGAATGTGTCTAAACATTATTTTTCCTAAAAATCAATTTCGGACAAGATGCAAACAGCCAGATATGTGTTTGAGAAAATTTGATAATTTTTCTTATATTTTTAACTCAAGTTGCATAATTTTTGTATGCATGATATTGAACTTATTAAATAAATCCAGTAGTCAGTACAGCTCCTCGATAATTATTGGAAGAATCGTGTGCACAATTATGACTATATAACCAAACACACCACGTGGCTGCCCCTCGAGGTCCACCACAGCTCTCCACGGTTATTTCTGTCAACACTTATATTTGTGTAGCAAAAACTCCTCCAAAAACTACCTCTTAAATACTGGGTGTGTGGCAGCATCAAGTGGCTGCTTTGGAGGTTAATATCAGTAGAGATGATGAACAACTTACCCGATTTTAGGAGTGGTGATGGCGTAGTGACATCAACATTCATCTCCCAAGTGCAAGACCCGTGTTCGACCCAGCTGTTCTTACTGAATATTGATACTTAACATTTTTCATTTCAGACACAGGATGAACCAGGCAGCCTCACTACAGGTCGAGGCAGCGTCCAGGTCTACTCGTTAATGTCTCGGGACGATCACGCTGACGGCGAAGCTTTACAGGAGAGAACAGGCGGCAGAGGTGAACAAAGGCCCACTCAAAAGCTCAAACCTCTAATATTTACTAATCAGTCTACAGCGTCAACCTCGGGGTCTGACGTTGAAGCGCGAGTGAATATAAAGTGTCAATAATGTGTTGAGTGACGGCGGTAACAACACTCCGCGGGTCTGTGTCGTGTTGAGTGACGGTGGTAACGACACTCCGCGGGTCTGTGTCGTGTTGAGTGACGGCGGTAACAATACTCTACGGGTCTGTGTTGTGTTGAGTGACGGCGGTAACAATACTCCACGGGTCTGTGTAGTGTTGAGTGACGGAGGTAACAACACTCCGCGGGTCAATGGCTCAGTATGAACTCCATGAGTGAATGTTTCTTTGTGGTAAGTGATAGTAAGGTGGCTGCAAGCTCACAGCAGTGAGGGACGGGCTGTGATAACCACCACAGTCATGGCATCGTTCCTGCAATATGCCCTGTCGCCGTTCCCCCGGCGACGTTCACGTAAGGCAGAACGTTCCTCGACGTCGTCACAGGACACTGTTACGAGTACACCACCACCGTCCTCCCCAGCCCCTAAGACACGGTCGGTGGGGATCCAGACTCCTGTACTACAGCGTCGGATGCTGATGGGAGACGCCCCCTCCACCCCTGGCTCTCTCAGGCGCCTCAAGGAGAAGACTCGTGGGGCGTGGCAAGCGTCACCACTGCTGGGCCGGAGGGCGTCCCAGGACACACTGAGGGAGGGCAGCATCACTCCTGTCCTTCCCAGGAAAGCCTCCTCCCCGCCCCCTGACCCTCTACACTCACCGCCAACCTCCCGCAGGTATCACCTCCTCTGCCATGTGCATTTTGTATTCAATAATGTCATTCCTCCCTCCATCTGTCTTACAGCATCTATCAGTTAGCCTTGACTCATCACTCAGCTTGCTCACCCTCACCTCCCTGTCACCAACTCATTCTTCTTTTACCCCACGACCTGTGAGTCACGTCTACGTGCTTCTTCCTGTCTTAATTGTCTCTTGACTCTACCTTCTGCCGTCTAAAATGTTATCTTATTCCTCCCCAAATTTTTTTTTGTCGGGCTCTCGAAAACTGACGCCTAGTTCGGCTACAGAGTTAACGTAGATGTGTTTCAAAGTTACTTCCTCTGGGCTTTTAAAGTGGTCCTCAGTCCCGCCATTTATTTTATTCATGAAATTATAAAGGTCGTGGCTAATGGAACGGATCCTTGTGTCGTTTTCCCCAGGCTTGACAGTGTGGGTATTTGGGTCATTGAGGCCACCTCCAAATTTCGTCACATATTGTCTCTGACATTGGCCGGGAATTGCTGAATCTTGAAAAACCTAACCTAACCAAATTTCGAGCGAGAGACAATATGACGAGATATAATTGTGACTACAATGCCCTTATGGCTATCTTGCGGGATTTGGGCTGTAGGGATCTATACTATTAGCCACGGTGAATTAAAATGCCATGTAGTCTGGTTAGCCTGGGGCTGTCAGCACCTTTAGGCTTTCTTGTTTATCTGTTTATTTAAGTAATAACGACATGTTCTCTTCCCTCCTTTCAGACACGCATCCCCGCCGGCTACCTCCTCCCTGGCCTCCCTCAGTAGCCATGAACCGCCGCCCACGCCTCCGTCCTCCTGTAACTCCTCCTACCACTTCGACCCCCCAGGCACGCCCTCCTCCACCCGCCGCTGCCCATCCACTACTACCCTGGACAGTGAGGGTGCCCACGTGGTGCATTTGGGCGCCGCTGGGATGGGCGTGAGCGGGGTGAGGGCTTGGGAGAGAGAGGTAATGCTCCGGGAGGTGGGCGGCGGTCGACGGCAGGTGATGAGGGAGAGCGTTAGGATGTCACAGTGTGTGGTGTGGGAATGTTTACCTTTTCCCGGCAAGAGGAAGAACCAGCACAAAGGTAAGCTGTGTTTCCTTTTCTGTCAGTGTGGCCCTTAGCAATATGTCCCTCCCTAGCAGTGTCCTCCCTAGCAGTGTCCCCCCGTAACATTAAAAAGTAACATTTGACAAGTTACAGTAGGTGTTACGTCGCTTCTCCATGATCCCGTGCAACAGTAACACTTACCTTGTATGTATAGGATAATTCATCAGAACTGACACTACCATATTTAAATGTTATCACCACATCTCGGTGTTCATCTGTAACATTGTGTTCCGTTACGATTCGTTATGTTGAACCACATCACTGTAGCACATCAGAGGCTCCTGTATAACGTGTACCTTATTAGTTGTTATTTACACTGCCCAGGTAGGAGAAAAAATCCTGATATAAAATATAAGGGAGTCTAGATAACGTTGTGTTGACCGTCGACAGCGTGAACTTGACCCTCATATATACCGTGAACAGTATTCGGGGCGGTGACGTAAATACAGTGTGACTGATGATAGTTATATTTTGAGATTTAGGATGAACCACACACACACACACACAGTACACACACACACATGAAGCCCTCGCAGTAGGTGTCGTGGTAGTCATTACTAATAAGAAGCCAAACGACAGATGAATGACAAGTAAAGACTGTCCTTTTTGTACACAGAACACAACACAACACAACAATCTGAGCCCTCAAGCGTTCGTACCATAAAGTTATACCGCTAGTCTAAACACTCACTAGTGCCCGATATACCTCTTTCTTCCTCGCCAGACGAACGTTCGCCCAACCTCTGCTTACGGTGGCGCTTTACTCTGGTGTGAAGAAAGGTCACACACACACGGACGGGAAATGTTATACAGAAGCTCGTCTCATATGACTTCTTAGAACCATGGACGTGTGTGTGTGTGTGTGTGTGTGTGTGTGTGTGTGTGTGTGTGTGTGTGTGTGTGTGTGTGTGTGTGTGTGTGTGTGTGTGTGTGTGTGTGTGTGTACTGACAGTCGTATGTGTATGGGATGAGATTTGATGGTTAGTGTGTACATGTGATAACAAGCTTGTGTAAATACCCACATATTACATATAAGTACAAATATACAAGCATCATTACATACAGTACAAGCACAAACACACGAACATATTTAATATCCAAGCAAAAACACCCTAACATATTTTACAAACAAATACAACCACCAAAACAAACATCGCATTCAACAACAAGCACCCAAACAAACAAGTACATAAAAGCACAAACATGTACACATTTACGCACCTTCTACATTACTCTGTGTGTACATATTTTTATTCATACACATACAGTATATACATGAACACAAGCACTCATAGACAGGAGCATACAAACTCATTCTAACACACACACACACACACACACACACACACACACACACACACACCCACACATTTAACTGAGTGACCACGTTAAGCTCGTAGCTACTGAGACAGTGATGTGTTGATGATATATATATAAAGCACTACTGTACTCCACTATAACAACAAGGCTTCTCACACTACACAACAACACTTAACATTTATAGAGATGGCACAGAGTTCATCGATATCTACCGTAGCGAGTACTTCAGTGGTTTAGGTACAGTAGGTTATATATATGTCTGAGTGGTATATTAGGTAGTATAGAGTAAAATGGTAAATAAAGTGTAGAAATGGATATGTGAAATATTCTAGAATGCTTCCTAAGCCTTAATGGTGGTCGGTCAACTCGAGGTATTAATTTTTGTTTACTTTCCTTAAGATATCAAAAAAAAAAAGTCAGTTTTAGTCCAACCCGCGAAAACAACTTCCATATGTTCGCTCGGCAGCATGACTTCACTAGTGGGCAGGCACCCACGTTCGCCACTGATAGCCAGACACCCACACTTTCCATTGATAGCCAGACATACCCTCTGATCTCCCACACCACATCACCTCCCGGCTCCCACCATAACATGTCCCGAGGTCCCCTACCTTCAGGTCCCCAGCCATCACCATTATTTCCCTTCATGACCAAATATCTCTCCTCCTAGAGACAGGTCTGGTGGCACTACTGTAAACGTTATTACAGACCTAGGACACTTTACCATAGCTAGACGAACCTCTACTGTACAATGGGTGTTATTTATGGGTCTTATTCCTTGTCGGGCACTATTGGCGTTCACTGTCTCACAAAACCCACTCGGGAGGAGGTTATAACATTTTAGTTATCTATCACTTGTAGACTGAGCCGCCACCACCCCCATTACTCGCTCCAAAAAGTATCTATACCATTTTGTGTGAGACACTATGAAGGATTTTGACAACCCTACCGAGACAACAGGAGTCGCGGTGTTCAATTTAAAATTCATCAGATTCCTCCGTAAAGATACTTTTTTGGAACGAGTTATAGGAAATACTCCCCGTGTACACGTATCTTACCTTCACTACATGTATCTTATGTACCTTACTAACCCAACCAATGGTCCTTCCGACACACTCGCCTCCCCATCATCTAGGTGTAAGAAGGTAAATAATAACTCCACATAACTTACAACATTATAAATAAGTCGGCATTTGAAGATCTTTTATATTAGCCACACGTCGCCATCATTGCCTTCACTGACGTCACACTGTTCTCGGGATGTTAGGCGATGATGTCAAAGAGTTTTAAGTTTCACAATTAAATCTGAAAAAGTGGTCGAGTATTTCATGATTTCTGGAGTTTCTCTGTAATTATCATCAGACATGGAGCTCCTGGGTGTCTCATACAGGGGCTGTTTTACACTGATGTAGTCATGAACCAGTCGAGACAAACAACTGTTCTTAAGTCTATGCGGAACTTATCTAACTAGTCCTAAACGCCCACATCTTCTACAGCACCGCCTTCTGCTTAACCACCCCTGAACACCTACAGCACTGCCCTCCACTCATGAAAGCAACTCACGTTACCTTACACTGCCAACCAAACCAAGATATAGAACTGAACACAACAAGAGATCAATACTGCCTCTGTAACACACACACACACACTACCTGTCTCTCGCTGCAGGTGTGAGGGGCAGCTGTAGCTCTCCACTTTAGCCCACAGCCACGCCCACACCCGTGCCAGAAGACGTCAATTACCCTGCAGGTTTAAACTTTGCCCACAGGTTGGATGTCTAGGCCCACCACTCATACCCACACCCCCGCCCACACTCCACATTCACACCCCGCTCTCATTTTCCCCCACCACTTCCTTGGGGTGCACCTGATCCTTGATTATGGAAGGTAAGGGATTAGTGAAAAGGGAGGGAGGAAGGAGGCGAAGGAGGGGGAGGAGGGGAGGGAAGAAAGGATTAGAGGAATAGGTTTGGGAAGAAGGGAGAGGCATGTTTAGGAGAGAAGCTAAGGGGTAAACGAGGAAAATGAACACACACACACACGGTATATTTAGGTTAGGTTTAGTTGGGTTAGGATAAATTGTATATGATTAGTTTAAGTTAGTCTATCACAGTAAAGGTGAGGAACACACCTGAAAGGACTTGAGATTTATGAAGGATGAAAGAGAGACAGAAAATGGGAGATAAGAATCACGTACGTAAAGAAGAAGAGGGGGGAAAAGAAGACGAATAAATGTGGGAAATAAAGAGGGTGGTCTAGAAAATTAAGCTTAGAGAGAGAGAATAACATATGGAATGCAGTCAAGAGAAGAGAAGACACAGAGAACAGGAAGACGAAGAGAAAATAAAAGCAAATTAATCTCAATTATGCCAATGAAACGGAGTGAAACAGAGAAAGTAGATAAACAGAGAAGTAAATGAAAAAAAATGAGAGGAGGAGATGAAAAACACCAAAGGGACAAAACAGCGGAGGAATGCGACAGAAGAGAGGAGAAGATAAGGAGGGGGTTGGAGGAAGAATTAAGAAGAGAGAGAGAGAGGGAGGAAGAAATAAAAAAGTAAGAGAAGAGGGAAGAAGTAAGAAGAGATAGGGAGGGAGAAACAAGATTGAATAAAGAAGAGGAGAAGGTAAGAGGAGGAGGAAGCACAAGCAGGTTGTATTGTTGTTGTCGTGGGTGAGGCGTCAAATCAGCTGGTCAGGCGGCGGCTCCGCCTTCCACCCCTTCACCACAACTCAAGTTTTTACACCGCCAGGTTGCGTGGTGCTTCTTACCTGGTGACGAGGACTAGGAGGAAGGTGACGTGACGTGTTAGATGGTGGGGGACGAGGAGGGGTGGGTGATAGGACGCGTTACTTGGTGTGGAACGAGTGGTGGTGGGTGATAGGACGTGTTAGTTGGTGTGAGACGAGGAGGAGAGGGGAGTAACGGGATGCGTTAGTTGTAAGGGACGAACACTCACCACCACCCTCAGTCGTCTTAGGTGTGTTCCGTGTATCAGTAGTGAGAGTAGGTACAACACGTGGCCACCACACCACTGTGACTTTCCCTCACCTTCATTTCTTTCACCTGGATGACCCTGAGTTTTTGCTCTCTTTTTTTTCATTTCTAAGGAGTGCACCGGCCGAGTGGACACAGCATTCACTTCTTGTCCATTAGTTAACTCATTGTACTTCCTCCCATCCCCAATTTTGTGTCTAGGTATCGCGCGAACGTACCACTAAGTGTTGAATATAAATCACCTATATCAATTACAGTAATTACTCTTACAAACGCGTCACGTCAGAGTGAGGGTATCGCACTACATGTCACTGCTAAGGAAAACAGGTTTGTAAGAGATAAGTTAAAAGTTCAGGTGTTATTTATGGTGAAAGTTTTCCTTGGTGTACAGTCGCCTACACTTATGCCTGGTACAGTGGCTGATGTGTTTTGTGAGATGTGGCAACTGTGGTATGTTTATTCAGCATCTTTAGTCTGGCTACTATTACGAGGTTCCTTAGGGCCATTCCGGGAGTTTTAGTCCGATGTAAACAAACACAGACTTACCACATCTCACAAAACACTGTACCAGGTATAAGTGCAGGCGACTGTACGTAACAACTCAAGGAACATATTTAAAGAGATGATTTACTGAAGGCTCCACACCGATGTAAAGGAACCTTGTTGATAAAGTGAACCATAAAATATTATTGTATTTTAGGACATGCAATAAGCAGTCTAAAACCTTTAATGAAGTAATCCTTAGTACTAGCAAGAGTAACTGATAATATATATAATTAGAACCGCTTGATGTAAATACTATAATAACAAATTAGGATCATCCTCGGGTAACAATAAAAACCTGTAGGAGTAGGAGTAGTATCATCAATTATATCGTAAACAGGAACACTCACTCCGCGCCCTCACACACTCCTCCTACGATATATGATACAAGGGTGACTGAACTGTTCCCCGCTGTGTGTTCATCTCTTCAGTGATTACTTTATCAGTGGTGGAAGGAACCTTGATGAGAATATTACTGACCAACAATAGGAAATTTGGAACCTACTTACACAACACACAGATGTTAGTGGAAGTGAATCGATAAGTATGACAACGTATAAATGCTCATAATTAGGTTGGTATCCCATTATTGTTACCTGTTCTACACATATATAACTTTTCCTGTAATGGCGGCAACTTTCCAGATAATTAAAAGATTGCAAAAGTTGAACCTGCATAAAAATCTGCAGTGTCATATTAGTCGTCCCAGCTTGAAGTAAGATACTCGAGAAGCAAGCAAGTGATATTCTGGACTCCTAAGTACAGTTTTAGAGCAGGAAAGTCAACCGGAAGTGCTATACAGTCACTCTACAATAACATTTTAAAAGTCTTTGATGACAACTCGTACACAGTTGGATTATCCCTGGACCGTCAACCACACCATACTGTTATCTAAATTAACAACATTATGGATCTAGATGTCTATACTATAAATGGTTCGCATCTTATCTGTCAGACAGGGAGCGTAACGTCTACTATAAGGACTAGTCAATCTGCCCCCTCATTTTATTTTTGTTTGGTATTCCATAAGGTTCCATTTTTGGGCCGGTACCGTTCCTATTGTGTGTAAATGCTATAGTTCACTCCAGCACACTCATAAATGATAGTACAGTTATACGTATGCCACACACACACACAAACACACACACTCAGTCTTTGATAAGGACCATGAAATGTAAATTAGCTAACGTCGGGAATCATAAATACCAGTATGCAATAAACTGAACCCTAAACCTTGAAAAGCTCATTATACAATTATCCACAGAAGGGAAACTATACAATACATCTTTTAACACAGAGCTAATACGATCTTTAAACGTAAACAAAGTACTGAACTTGTTAGGAGTCTCATTGATGACTTCCTCGGGTGGAGAAAAAAAAAACTCATTCAGTCAACACAGTAAAATCAACAAACATTACGGCACCTTCCGCCTCTCTCACCAGTCGTTGTCTACAGGATCAGTAAATCATGTCGTCTGTACTTCCATTTATCCACACTTGATTTACTGCCATCCGCTGCTGTAGGGATCCTCAGGCAACACTAAGACAACACCTATGAAAAAACACATTCACTCTTCACAGTTAATATTCCCATACATCGTGGGAACCTCCACCACAATTGCCAGTCGCAAAATGACTTGAAAAAAAAAATTACCACATGAACGAAGTCTTTGTTAAATTGAAGATATTAACATTTAAGGACGTTATAATATTACAGTTCGGCCTTATTAGTTTTGCTTTGAATTAGTTAACTACCTAATTGAGGATGACTATTACCAGTTCCGGACAAGTAAGCGTTGACTCTAACGAAACCCGGACTTATTGAACTCAGACCTTCATAAGATACTAGGGATGAGGAGAGGGTGAGGGACGTGTTGGTAGTGAGGGATGGTGAACAAATTTATTGCCTATCCTGTGTAGTTCAGTCAGGGGTCTTGACACTGAGGGTGCTATCACTTCTCACTGCTACGACGACTTAGGTCACTTGGGACACCCACGCCAGAGCTGAGGACCATCTACAACGCCTTTATTCTCCCCAAACTAACGTATGCGTCACCAGCCTGGTCGTCTTCTCTCAACTCCACCCAACAACGTCAGCTAGAGAAGGTACAGAAAAGGGCCTGCAGAATCATGCTCGGCGCAGAATACTCCGCCTACACCAACGCTCTCTCCACCCTGGAAATGCCATCCCTCAGTGACCTCCACCACCAAGCACTGGAAAGGTTTAGCAGTGGACTTCTGCACCACCCACGTCATCGCCACCTCCTGCCACCTGCAGCCCCCACCCAACTCGCGCAGTCCGCCACTACAACAAAATTCAGCCCATAAGAGCCCGCACCGATAGATATAAGAACAGCACCATCCCATCTATTGTTAAAATAATAAATAACTCCTAATTTATGTACTGTACAGCCCTGTAAATGTATTCAATGCACATTATATCATTATGTCTAAATCAAATGTAAGTCTGTATATTTTCAGCCACCGGCTGCAACTCTATTAATAAGCCGTTTATTATTATTATTATTATTTATTATTATACAGTATAAGTCATATTCTATTGGAGGACTAATCAGTGTGGTATAGTAAATTTTGGAAAGACATCAAGAATGTCCTCAAGCACTCCTGACTCAATGTAGTAATTACATAGTTCATGATACAATAAGCCAGGTGGCCTGAAGTCTTTGAGTGTCACATTCAATAATATAGTGTTCAAGTGTATGGTTTAAAGGTTTATCACAAAATTTACATGCTGAGTGTTCCGGTATGGGTACAGCGTTACTAACTTGCCAGATGTGTCTGTATCTTAGCCTAATTTTGGCCACGACTACATCCCCTTGTCTCTCTCTCTCTCTCTTATATACCCCCAATCACATTCATTCCTCCCCCTCTCTTACCTCCTCTCACTTCCTCCCTCACTCACATTTCTTTCTCCCATCTTACTTCTCCCTTTCCACTCCCTCTCTCACGTCCCATTCTACTCCTCTCACTCCCAGGCATCCCACAACAGGCTCCAGGAGTCCTTATACGAACTAAGACTAATGCGGACAGAGAGTCAAGGTCAGATAGCTTCTTTATGCTATGCTGGACTTCGCTGGGCAATGTTATGCTACGCTGGGCTACACATCTTATACTTTGCTAAGATACACCACTATGCCAGGCTAAACTACGCTCCTTTACAGTCCTAGGTGAGTGCCTGGCTGAGCTGATGGGATGTGGGGAGGTGGCGGGTTTATCTGGACAGGTGAGAGAGATAAGGTGTAAAAAAGTAAATTACATCAGCGAGAGTAGAAGCCGCTGAGTCTGAATCATGAAAATATCTTTATGGGAAGCAGGTGTGTGTGTGTGTGTGTGTGTGTGTGTGTGTGTGTGTGTGTGTGTGTGTTCTACAAGTCCCTACACAGCCACCATACGCACTCATGTTGACACTGTTATACATCTAGGCGTGCCACATCTGCCAACGTGTCATGTATGGCCCACACACATCAGATATACTTGACATATTTGAAGCACCTGACAGTGACACACGTGACAGCGGGTTATCAGGTGTGGAACATCATGACAGGTCGCTGAGTGAGGGTGACTGATTGTGTGATATTTCTGGGGTGTGTACTGTAGGTGTGTGTGTCTGGGGTGTGTACTGTAGGTGTGTGTGTCTGGGGTGTGTACTGTAGGTGTGTGTCTGGGGTGTGTACTGTAGGTGTGTGTCTGGGGTGTGTATTAGTGGGTGTGTGTCACTGGAGAGGGAGGTAAGGTGTGGAGGGGTGTTTAGGACAGTCTGTCACCTGTGGGAGGATGGCTGGGTGTCTGGAGGAGCGTCTGGGTGCCTCACTGGGTGCCAGGCAGGTCAGTGGTGCAAGAATTGGGGTGGAGGTTTTAGTGCCAGAGAGAACATGTTTTTCAGGGTCAAGTCTTCTGTCTCAGTACGTATATTTCCTGGAGAGAGAGAGAGAGAGAGAGAGAGAGAGAGAGAGAGATCATTACTGCTGTGTGTGTGACAGTGATGCCTCACCACTGTCACACCGGCTACTTGCCATTTGTTGTGTGTCACGCCGCCTACCATGCGTTAGTTTCCCATCGCCAAGGCTGCTGTGCTGTGGTATAACACTGTCTGCTTAGTGGTGGCCTCCAGGTGTAGTGTTGTTTGTGTCATGTTCCTGTGCCATACACCTTGTCTGAACTGTAGTTTATTATGGTATATTTCTTACGCTGCTGACCTTTGGGAACCTAACCTAACCTAACCTATGTTCTTTTGTCGCACGTATAAAACAGCATCACGACGTACAACACCTCTCACTGGCATGCGTCCGTCTAGCCTGTTTGCGATAGGTGTTGTGTGTCTGTCGCCGATATGAAGGTTTATGGCTTTACCAGTGAACTCAGATGATTGCTAAGGTGTTGACTTCTCCTGGGTGATGGTACGATGTTGGCACCCAGGACGGTACCACCCAGGCCGGTACCACCCAGGACAATAATAATTAGGACAGTGGTGTACATGACAGTGGTACACTGGACAGTGGTACACGGGACAGTGGTACACGGGACAGTGGTGCACAGGACAGCGCCGCTGGTGCCTGGCTGTAGCGGCACCCAGTGAGGGGCCTTGAGTCGTCTCAGCCATATATTAATGTGTTTTTTTCGTTCCGGATGAGTCGGGGAGACGACGTGGTGACGTGTGCCTCCGTGATTGAGAAGGACGGGAGGAGGAGGAACCGGCGAGATGAAGTGGATGAGGGGGCGACAAGAGCTCTGCAGGGAGTGGGGAGGAGGGAGAGAGAGATGGAAGGAGTGTGGTGAGAGAACGAAGGATGAGGGTTGTAGCAGCGGACTGTGTATGTAGGAAGCGAGGGTATGGTGTGAAACGTGAACGACCCACGTGCTGTGTGGTCACGTCACGAGTCCAGGCGGTGGTCACGTGTACCATGAAATTGAATCCAAATGTTGCGGGAGAAGGCACGGGCAGATGGGGCAGGAGAAAGTCACACAATCACACATGGTAGATAAGAGAGGTGTAAGATAGATAGGTAGGTAAGATAGATAGATAGACAGATTCTCCAGTAGTAACATATATGAAGAGTAGGTGTAGACCTGGTAATATTGAGCGAGGTCATGACCTGGGACGACAAGGAGTCCTCCCCCGGACCTGTAGACCTGACACAGTGCCACATTGTCCAGCCCCCCAGGACCTGACCCCCACCCCCTCCCCCTCCTCCTCCTCCTT